CATTGAACACTAATGACCAAAGTCTGGAGGTGTTATGCGATGACATCAAGAATGTCATACATGAAGCAAAAGGTCATTAAAATCAGGAAACAAAACAGCAAATTTGATGTCAGAAGAGACTCTGAAACTTGTTGTTGAATGTAGACACGTTAAAGTGATGTAAGATATGATGAAATAAGATCTGAATAGAATACTTCAAAGGGTCGCTCAAAAACAAAAAGTACAGCATTATAACCAAATGTGCAAAGACCTGAAGTTAGAAAACGAAAAGTGAAGGACATGCTAAGCATTTATGAAGGTGAAAGAACTGAAGAAAATATTCAAGATTTGGCTTGTAACATTGAAGGACTTTGTGGCTGAACTACTGAACGATGCAGAAAGCATTAAAGGATGTCCTTGTTGTTAGGTGCCATGGAGTCAGTACAGACCCATACCGACCCTATGCACAACAGAATGAAACACTATCTGGGCCTGGGTCAACCTCACAATCGTTGCTACACCCGAGCCTATTGCTGTACCAAAAAGAATTGGGTTCACATTCAATCATTTCAGGAGGTAGCATATAATCAAGAATCAATGATACTGAAGGAAGAAGTCCAAGCTGCACGGGAGGCATTAGCCAAAAACAGCTGATGAAAAACAAACTGAAATCTTTCAATAAACTGATGTATCGCTGGAAGCACTCATTAGTCTGTTTATGCCACAAAATTTGGAAGCAGCTACCTCACCAACCTGGAGTGTGATATTATAGGATAAGCTATTGGCTATTAACCACAAAGTTTGTGGTTCAAACCCACCAGCTGTTCATCAGAAACCCTATACAGGATGGATCTCAATGAGTAGGGACCGACTCGATGGCATTTAATATATTGAAAGCACCATGAAGACGACACAAGGAGATGGACTGATGCAACAGGTGCAAAAACAGGCTCAAAACTTAACAACTGTGAGAATTGCACAGGATGGGGCAGTTTGGTTCTGTTGTTCTTAGGGTTGTTATGAATTGGAGGCAACTTGATGTTGTTGTTTTGTGTCATCAAGTCACTTCCAATTCAAAGTGACCCTGAATAGGGCTTTTGAGGAGCAAGCGGTGAGTTTGAACTGCCGACTTTGTGATTAAAAAAATCAGACTCTGTTGAAACTACAGAATTGGCTTTGAAAATGTATCTGCTGCAAATGTACTTGGAATAGACATCACTTTTGATTTTTAATAGCATGGGAAATTGGACTTGGAATAGACATCACTTATTTTGATTTTTAGTACCATGGGAAATGTTATCACCTGACATTCTTGCTGTTAAAGTGTTTTCAAGTTGGTTCCGAGTTCCCAAGGACCGGATGGTGGGTTTGAACCACTAACCTGGTGGTTAGAGATTACTGCAGTATAGCTTTCTCAACCAAGCAGTTTTACCTGGTAATGTTAGGCTCAATTCATTAAGAAATATGATAAAGTCTACTACAGCAAAAGCTAATTTCCAAAACTACTCAGGGATCAAAAAGTAGTTAAGGATAGTTCTCCTTCATAAAAACTATCTCAGCTCTGAGTTTGAAAAAAAACACCATTGCCAAGCTACTGAACGGCTGTGTAGTAGGCAAGTCGGGATGTTCTGAAATGACCTGAGTTAAATCTCTTAATAGTGAATAAAGTCTTGTTGACACTAGTAGTTCATAACACAATACTACTATTTTAACCGCAATGTACCGGCTAATGAATCATAAAGCAAGTCAGAACTGACTTGACAAGTTTAACAACTAACAAAAAAAACCCACCTTGTAGTTTCACAAGCTTTTGTATCATTTTTTGTATTTAACCAACTCAATTTTTTTCTGATACATGCTACATTTTCACCATGGTTGTATCACATCTTACGTTCCACATTCAGGGTTGTGATGAACTGATGTTTTCAACTGGTCTGAAAGCATTTTTATCTGTAGCTTTCCATCGACTGACAGACATGAATTCTTCAGTCATTTCAAATGCAGTACTAATTAGACAAATCATGATTGTGCAATATTGCGTCAACTAAGAACCAAAGATAACCACTTAAAATAAAATTTCCGTTAATTACTGTTGCTCCCAGTGTCCTTATTCTTCAAGCAACTCTGCCCAATAGTCTAAAAGTCTTAAACAAGTTGACTTTCTCTAGGAAAATTTGTTACTGCAATCACACACAATTTAAATAACTCACCATCTGTAAATGGAATTCCAAGCTTGGCTAACAAATGATCAACGAAATAACGTTGCTTGCAGACTCATGCTCATGTTTTATTTTTGTTTAGAAACTAGGCTGTGCTGCAATATCCCACTTTACACTAATTCTTGTAAACGCTGCTGTACTGAGTGCTTAGTCTTGCAATGTCACAATATACGAGGGGCTTCAAAAGGTCATAGAAAAACTCCATTATCTGTTATTAAAAATATCCATTTTCCCCACAAACTTTGAAGCTCCCTCATATCCCTTTAGCACAGCTATTGTGTCACTGTATAGTAAGCACGGTGCATTACCAGGTAAGTAAAAAACCAGACTTTACTGGGTCTTAACAGAACAACATTTAAAATGTATGACTCTGTTTTGACATGATGGGGATCAGCTGATAATTAAATAAAATGCTGAGGTCTGGCAAAACATGTAACACTGGAAATGCTGTTGTCAGGTGTATCTGTGCCATTGAGACTTGTAGCATGTCAAGCAGCAATGCGAGGTTAGGAGAGCAAGAGGCAGCTTCTGTAGCAACTCCTCACCTTTGTGTACTGTCGTGTGAAAGGTGCCACTGACAGCATGGAAATGATGAACATGGATACGTTCTAATAAAAACTTTATTTGTGGACACTGAAATTTGAATTTCATATAATTTTCAAGTGTCATGATATTTTATTAGTCTTTATTTGCATCCCCTCCCTCCACCCCCATGCTCCAACCATTTAAAAACAATTGTCTCGTTCACCGCCCAACTGAAAACAAGCAGCAAGCTGGTTTTGTACTTCAAGGCTGTAGTCTGCAGATTCCTGCTTTGGTAGATTTAATACAGTTCAGTCCAGAATAAACAGTTTGGGAACACTAAAAAAAAGTCAGGAAATATATCCAAAAGGTAGACTTTGTAAAGATCATAATGTTCCTTTTATAGAAGCTATGAAATATTATTTCTCAGGGACAAACAAAAATTGATACAAGCTATAAAATCCAGAAACTCTATGGTTTCTAAAAAAGCAATCTTTACAATTCCTATCATTTACGGAGCTGGAGACCAACATATCAAGAATCCAATTAGAAACTGGCTCTATTGTGCAACTTCAAAACGAAGTCATCGTAAGTTATACAAGATGCATTTATTTCATAAATCTTTCAGAATAAATGCATTCTTGGAAAGGAGAAATAGATATAAATTCTTAAAATGGGGTTTCAAAAATTCATGGGAAAATTCCATTGCCTTTTAAATCCATTTTTTTCTAAAACTTTTTGAACCTCCCTTGTAATAGTGTGTTGAGGTACTCATAAGGAGTAAGTAGCCAACACTGTTGAAATACAGAAGGCTCAAAGTGATTTTTCCAGTGAAAAAACTTTAAATCAGCTTTTTAATGAAGGAAGTTACTGAGTTCGATTCAATTGTCAACTACAAACGGAATTTCCCCCAAATAAATATTTCTAAATAAAATCACCAGTCATCAACATATATATATGAAAACATTTCTGAAGCCTTTATTTACAAAAGCTTTAAAAACAAATAATACCCTCTGTTTTGCAAATAATGTTTTGTTTAAAAAGGACCACCCAGATACAGCATTGTAGTATCATGAAGAAAGAATGTACAAGGGAAACAAACCAATGTGGCTAACATTTGGAGATTTGCTTATGTTACTGATTGAAGTGTAGATAACACACATCCTAACTTGAAATCCATCATTTCAGGGTAGACAGAATTAATGATTACCAAAGTATCTTCCTACACATGCTCTGGTCTGGTCACATATTCTGGATGGCTAAATATTTCACAGTCTCTTTTGTCAATATATATAAAATAGATTGCAAAGATATACACAAAAAAATAAACAAGCATTACACTCCTCAGGTTATTTTATTAGCTACATATATATATATATACTTTGTATTTTGTTGTTTTGCACCAAGTCTCACCGTTATTATCCTTTGCAGCAACTATGAAAGCACAATTTTTGTCTTCTAATTTAATTTGGTACAAAATATACCTAAGACTTGCAATCTTTGGACTTTAATGAAACTGATCTATAGACTCGACAAATCAAGAGCATCATAAGTATGGCTAGAAAAAAAAAAATAAGGTAAACAGTGATGGAATAAAAGAAGCACATCAAGGGGTGTGTGCTATCATAAAATGATTGCAGCTTCAACATCATGGATGCCAGTTTCCTGGCAGATACTCAAAATCCAATCACAAGGGATATTCCTGAAGGGTGTAAAGCTGGTTTGAAAAAACTCTTCAATCACAGATCAGGCCTACAAACGCCAATTAAAAGCTGACAGACACTAGATGTGCTTGGAAGATTAAACACTACGTACAGAAACAGCAGTTCCTAAGTTCCTCAGTAGTTTCTTTTGTCTCTTTTTTTTTTTGCTGTTAGTCTTGATCAATCAACAGTTTTGCACAATGAATGTACTATCTTTCATGGATCAGAAACAAGTAAATACTGTATAGAGTTGGCAGATGGTCATTATTCCAGCTAAGAGCAAGAAAAACCAAAATTTCTGAAAAAACAGAGGATTTGAGTTAGAATCACTCTCTAAAGTGCAAAATTGATGGTCCACAATCTCAAATAGCTAAAACTCCTGTAGAATGGGAGGGAGAGACGTGAAACAGGGAAATAAATCACAGTCAGTGCTAGTGAATTTAGGAAAGGGGAAAAACAAACCAAGCCCAAGTAGGTAAAGTTGATCAAAATATTCAATATGATGTCACTTTCCCCACTTAGTCACACACGCTTGCTAACAAGTGTTTAAAGGTAGGGCCAAATTTAACCTGAATGCTTTTCTATTTATTAAGATCTGAGATAGGAATGGTCACACTTAGTACTGAGAGGCAGAAAACAAAATGGACTATGAAAGGGAAAAATAAGGTATAATCTATTGTCCAAAGGATTCAACCAGAGATAAAACCTATATACAAGCATGTGTGTAGCTCAAATCAAATCAAAATAAAAGGGCTATTTCATGTCATGACTGCTTGTTGGCTTCCTCTTCATATGCATTCCCTGTGCCATTCTGTACATAGGATGAACCAGAACCAAGGCCATACAAATGACCACAATATTTGGCATCATCAATATGATCTTCAAAGAACATCTAAAAAGGAATTTTGAAAAAAAAAAAAAAAGATAATTTTAACCAAAAGGAACCACTTGTAATAATTTATACTTCAGCAAAGTAAGTACTGACTGTTCATTAACAGCTCTCTTTTCTATGGTGTTCCTCTGCACCTACATCATTTAGTTCAAGGAATAAGACTGACATCCTCAAGAAGCAGAGCTCAAAAGCAATTTTTAAGAAAAGAAAAAGAAAGAAAGAAAATGTAACAATACTTTTCTTATTAACATTTAGACCAACAGTTCTATGAGGATTTGTAACCATGTAAAAAATGCAGACATTTTTATTCCAACAATTTCACAATGCTCAACTATAAAAATAAGTGACAACAGTCAATGATGACAGAGGGGAAAAAAAATTTAGGATTTAAAATTAAAATGACCATGAATGTATGTGTAAGATTCTTAGGCATAAAAAAATTAAATCAATAAATAAAATCATTAAACATGTTCTGGGAAGCAAAGTAAACTCTGAACATTTACACTAGGTTACTGTCCTTGAAGAAGCCAATAAAAAAGAAGATGACAAATCAGCATAAGAGAATTCACATTCACCTTTAAGGCATCTGAAAAAGGCAAAGCTGAATATTTAAAAGGTGGTTTTGATTCTATAATGCAGCATTGGGAAGTAAAAAAAACCCATAAACCCCAAAAGAGTACTACTTGCGGTGAAGGTACAGCCTGAACCAGTTGTGAATTAATATCACTTAGCAAAATACGCAGTATATTAGTAGTACATTTCTACATTAAGTTTTAAATTCCTAGGAGTTCTGAATTAATGCTTTAATGTTTAAAAGAAAATACTTAACACCACTATCCTTGTAAGTAAAAAGTTCATTCTACTGTTTTCCTATAACCAATATTCTTCTGTTTACCTACAGTGAGGTAAATTTAAGCACATCAACTAATTCTATAACCTAAGAGAAAACTTGTGTATATAAATAAAATTCTAAGTATCTTCATACCTAACTTCCTTATATTTGAACTGCTCTCCACCTTTTGGCAATGAAGACCCAATATGATTTTTGACTCAACTATTACTTCAGAATTAACCCTTCCTCCTTTTAGAATTAAAAATCCCTTTTTAAGACTCAATGTAGCAAAAACCATGAGTCCTACTCTACTAAACTGAGAATAAGAGCACTAAAAAATGTCATGAGCAAGTAACATTTTTTACCAGTAGTTTAATGCCTAAGAAGGCAATGCTAGCGCAAATCTAACATTCAGATTCCTTAACTTGGTGGGAGAAGCACTGATGTGGCAGGAGCTCTGGGTCTCCTACTAGTAATCCATGAGACTTTGGATAAAAAGTTATTAGTCAGTTTATTATCTGTTTCAAGCAGTAGTTGTGTTCTGGGAACCTCCGCAAGTCCCAGAGACCCCCTTCAGGAGATCTATGAGGTCAAAATTATTTTCAAACTAACGCTATGACCTTTTTCATTCATATGGTATATAATAATTATTTAACGATGCTATTAAAATACTCCTTTTTCCAACTTAAAAAGTTAACCTTTGGTCTCAGTTTTCAAATCTAAGAAATAATGTGGTTAGTTCTACATATTTTCTAAGGAAATTAAAGTTTTGAATCTATAAAGAACTTATCTCTCCATTTCTTTCTGAACTACATTTTAAGAGGAATTATTTTTAAAATAAAGAATGTTTTGGGTGGTATAGAAAAGTTCAAAGTTCAAGTCCTTCAAAAGGCACATTGGCAGAAAGACCTGGTGACCTACTTCTCAAAAATCACCCACTGAAAACCCTATGGAGCATGGTTATGCTCTGACACACACTAAGTCACAGTGAGTCAGAATCAACATGACGGCAACCTGTACTGTGCTTTTTACATTTCTGAGCATTTGTCATTCAGGTTTAGTGAATATGACCTATATGGTCTCTAATCATATGTCTACTTAGGATGTCCTTATTGCTCAGAAGCTTTGGCCAGAGATTAAGACTTCTAATGTTTTAAAATACATAACCAACTGAGAAAAAGGCATTGATGTCTTCATACTTCTCTCATTTTGAAAAAGGCCATTCCTGTAAGCAATGAATCAGATCCTGCCTGATGTTGTGGTCCGATCCGTTCCAACTCTAACTGCTCAGCAACTTCTTGTAATCCACCCTAGAAGAAACAAAAATTGCCTGTCAAAAGAGAGAAACAGTACAATTCCTGGAATTTGCAAATTATACAACTAACCAATATATAAATATTAGTATGTAAAGATGCCCTCATTATGAAGACTGGGAAAAACCCGAGTGTGTGTGGAAAAGTCTGTAGCAGAAAATAAGGTATCAATTGGAAAAATTGATCTTCACCATATGTTGAAAGTATGAAACTTTCTTACTAATCTAAAGATGCAATGGAAACAAATTAACACAGGGTAATGGTCCCAGTGAGGCACTGGGGGTTAATGCGCTGGACTGCAAAGTCAGTTTGCATCACAAGTCTCGTGGCTCAAGTTCACCAGTCGCTATGGGCTGGAAGGACTCAACAGCATTTAACAACATTACTTAGTAAGAACAATCAGTTTGGCAGTCTCCAAACTTTTCTTAAATTTCCCACTGACCCAATTCAAATATTTTCCATTAAAAAAAAAAATTTTTTTTTTTAATTTACACAAAACCACTCAGGAATACATAACCAAAGGGCACATTCTCCAAGTCGGCGTCCTGGCCGCCAGCACAGAGCCTTTCTCTTTCCATGAATCTAGAGTTCTCAGCTGCTCTATCTCTCCATGCCATCATCTCTGCCTCCATCTCTGGTGTTGCTGCTTCTATGGATAAGGTCGCAAGTTCCACTCAAGCTCTTCTCCCTTGATGGTCTTAGGGTCCTCTGTTCCTGGACTGTAAGATTAACTACTGCTCCCTTTATGTTACAAAACTTCTATATTTATGGTTGTGACAATTGCAATTAGTCCTGGTAACAGTTACTCACTATTGAATCGTAAGAATTGTATCCCCATCTCCTTTCAACAGACTTGTCTCGACAAGATTAAAACTATTCAGTGGGCATTCTACCTTCCCCCACACTCTCTGAAACTAAACTTCCTCTTAAAAACTTGTAAGCCAGCTACTTTGTACTTTTATACTCCAGCCCCTCTGTTTTAGGCAGTCAATGTCTAAGCTGCCCGTCCCTATCAACCCTGTGTATACAGGGAATAGGTTTGACCATTGATGTGAAGACTGCTTCTTCCTCATTATCCTGAGCTACTACATCCGTTAAGTAAAAGAAAAGTTCATTAAATTTTAGCAATTTACATTTGTTTTCTTTATCAAATTTCTTTATCTTCTTCTAGTTGAGTTCTGATCATCAAGCCATCAAAGCCAAGTCAAATGGGTACTATCTTCAAGTTTGGGTATTCTTGTGTGTCTCCGCTCAGTTCATAATCAATTGGATGCTTCACTCTCAGTTCAGCCCTCTGTGGCTAGGTCCTTGTCCATGGGCTTAGGAGTCCCCAGGTCTCACCACACTTCGGACCAACCAGACCTTCCTCTTCTCTCTCTTATCTCTAGGTTGATGGGAGTCTATAGAACGTGGTCAAACTCAGCCCAAATCTTCACTGCCGCCTTTCCGCATTTCCACTCATCAGTAGACCAACGTGGTTGCCAGCAAGCCTACATGCCTACACATGTATAAGTGTTCCCTTTCAGTTTCAGTCTTGGAAGGGGTTTGTCCTGAAGGGACTTGATAGCTTGCCTTGATGGCTCCCCAGTGAACAACTTACTTGTTCTTGTAGTAACCAATCAGACTTCCATTTTTGGTTTTGATTTTTCCTGCTGGTCTTTCATGAAGTATCTTCTGTTCCTCTAGCTGCTCCAGGCTGGTCTGCATGTCCCTCAAATGGGAATGTCCCACTTGAGAAGGTTCTGGATGGGGCTCAGGATTTCACCTAATGTCTTATACACTACAAAAGCTCCACATTAAGCATATTTTACCACGCAAGTTCTAGAACCCCTTTTAGGTATTCCAATCAATTATAGGCTGAAGATGGGCTTACAAGCTCTCTGTAAGCATGTTTCCCAATATTCCTTTCTATCCCACTCAAGTGTCTATTTTACACCATCAAATAATTTTTATAAAACAAAGTCATTGGGAGCAATCAAATCAAGAATTCAGTAAATATTTAACTCAGGTTTTGTTACAAAGAAACAAAAAGACATGTTATTATAAGCATACAATTGCTAAAGTCTATCTATGCAATATTACAATGGAATGCAATGCACTATTCCACATGGCTCCTTCCACTCATCCTAACTCCCACCAAACATTTTTACCCTGCTGGGTCTGGGTAAGAGTAGGTGGGAGATGATATTGATAGGACTATATGATTCCTTGGTTAACAGAGTGAATTGTGATTATAAAAACTAGAAACTCTTAACGTGATAATAAAAATGAACCTTTTTAGAAGAAGGGGAATCTAACTACCATCAAAATCTGAAGCCACGAGTGGAGCATGTCTGGTGGACTCTAAGATCCCTGTGCATTGAACCTCCTTGACTCAGGGACAGAAAGCTGTGACACCTGCAGCAGCAGCAGCAGAACTAAGCCAGAACATGATGCAGAGCAGTGGGTTTCCTAGTCCACAGAGTAAGCAAAGATGAGCGACTTTGGGCAGGAGACCTGCTTGCAGAATAGGGTGCCTCTAAGCACTTAATTAGGAGTTCTAGTGTGGTGCTGTGGGTTAATGTACTGGACTGCAAGGTTGCTTTGATCCACAAGGTCGCTTAGATCCACAAGGTTTAAGCTCACCAAACTCTCCTCAGAAACCCTATACAGGGTTGCTATGAGTTACTACTGCGTCAATGGCACTTAATAACAACAAAAAGCACTTAAATGCAGTCCTGGTCTGGTGCTGTGGGTTAATGAACTGGATTGCAAACTTGGTTTGAACTATAAGGCCAGTGGTTCAAACTAACCAGCTGCTCCTTGGAAACCCTACACAGGGTCGCTATGGGTCAGAACTGACTTGCCAGCACATAACAACAAGAAGCACTTAATTGGGGAAGCTAGGCTTGTTGATCCACAGAGCTAGAGCCTAGTGTCTTGAGACTTTTCAGGTTGTGTGTTTGAGGCTTATAGTGGAATGATACGCTCTGTAAGCATTTATCAGAGCGAGGCCTGCCTGTGGGCACAGCTGAGGGACGGTTATCTTTATCGGAAGTACTGTACCTGGAGCATTCTCTGATCATTGTTGTTGTTGCTATGCACTGTGGAATTGGTTCCGACTCATAGTGACCCTGTACAGGATTTCCAAGGCTGTAAATCTTTATGGGAGCAGAAAGCCTCATGTTTCTCCTGCGAAACAGCTGGTAGTTTCAAACTGCTGACCTTGAGGTTGGCAGCCCAACTCATAACCACTACGCTACCAGATTAGAACCTGGTAACTTCCCTAATAAGCCCCCAAATTGCCAGTGTGGGGCAGTGCAATGAATTATGGAACCCAACTGATTACAAAGTGCAGTGGGAGGGATGGTTTACTACCAATTTTTACATATTATAATTTAAAAACAAGATAATCAGAAAGTAAAAAAGGGAAATAAAAAGGCAGAGGGCAGAAATAGAAAGAGAAAAGGGAGAGCAAAACAAAGAGAAAGAATAAACAATACCATCACCAACAAAACAAAGAATACAAAAATTCTCCAAGTTGTTATGGTCGCTACTAGTAAACTAACATTTTACATAAGAGCTTAAAACAGTGCTTTGCACAGCAATGGCTTCTGTGTTAAAAATAGCAGGAGGATTAAGTATCATTACCAACTGCTAAAAATCACCTGTCATTGACCTAAAATCTAACACAGCAATTTATTCAGGATATATTCAGAATATCTGACATAGAAATTTCCTGATGATATGCAAATAGTGAGCAATAATTTAGCTCTCTGTTCCAGACAATTGTCATTAAACAGATATGTCAACTTTAAAAAGCATGTCCAAAGCCAAATGAAATCATGTTGGCTGTAGGTTCTCAGCATGCAATACTTTCATGGACTGGATGAATTCAGTTTCTAGAGCTTTAAGGGTATCTTAGTCATGTTTACATGAGTCACAGATGGAAGAGTATCTTCAAATTGCACAGACTTCTACGGTTCTTAGCTGCTCTAAACATAAAAAATCTTTCTTCAAAACTGTCCTGGTTATATGCTAACCACAGGCTGTAGTAGAAGCAAACTTTGCTTTAGGGAAAGCTCTTAAAGTCCTTGTCGTTGTTGAGTGCCATCAAGTTGTTTCTGACCCATAGCAACCCTGTATAGGGTTTCTAAGGAGTGGCTGGTGATCTCGAACTGCTGACTTTGCCAGTCCAGTGCATGAGCCCACAGTGCCACACCAGGACTTCATCATTTAATTAGACAGTTTGATATTAGAAATCCTAACTGTCAGTGAACGGAAGAACTGTGTAATTTGAGATCCTTTTCAGCAACCATTTTTGTACATCATACAGTTTTATTTTCTTAAAATTATTTCATATATTAAGTCCTTGTGATCATTCTGTGTCAATGGAGAAAATCTATCAAGAGCACACTCCTTGGGAATCCCAGTCAAAACAACCTTCAGAGTTGGCCTCTCTGCCTTGAATGTAACTGGCCCAGCAGATCCCCATCAGAAATCATTGTTTCAAATAGACCTTGCTTTGGATCATATCATAATGAATGGTAAACCCAAGAATCATTCCTGACTATGACTTAATTCCATAAAATTCTTTACATTAGGTTTGATCTTGCTTAACAGATTGATGGAAAGATCAACTCTTTGAAGTAGCTGATCATCACAAAATGCTTTTATGTTAGTATCCCGCTCTCTCTCTAGCTCTCTTTTTAAGGTCCTGGTGTGGTACTACAGAATAAGCACTAGATTGCTAACTGCAAACTCAGTGAGTTAAATACCGACTCAATGGTACTAAACATCAAAACTAAGACAATTGTATTATAAGAGAAAACTTGTCTGGCCATTCACTTACTGCAGAGACATGTTTAAACACGTTTTGTTTAGATTAAACCCCTGCATCTATGAACTTGAATCCTAACAATAATACCTTTTGATTCACCCTAGAATAGTTTTACTTGTACTACTGAAACCTGGTGAGGAAAAACAACTAGGTCAATCTTTGTTGCTTTGAAAAATGAAGGGGCAATGTCGGTAGGTAGGTCTCTCAAACCACTTTGCTTTAATTTTTTTGTTATAAACAAACACACAACCTGAAAACAACACAATATCACACTTGCAGACCTAAGAATCTCTGAAAGAACACATTGTTGTTGTTGCTGTCAGGTGCCATCGAGTCGGAATCGACTCATAGCGACCCCATGCACAGCAGAACGAAACAATGTTCGATCCTGGGCCAACCTCACTA